ACAGGTAATTCAAAAAAAAACATTGCTATGAGTGAATGCAATGAATCATGCAAGGCGCCCGCACTGCAGCAAGGCACCAGCGCACTGCATCAGAAATAGTGAAGCATGATGGAAAGGGCTGTTATAGACAATGCAATAAATCGGTCAAAGATCAATATTGAAGGCAAAGACAATTTCACGACTCATGGACGTGGCTTGAAATTCGAATCCAATGCATCACGCATACCGCATCAGCATGTACGCAATGCATCACCTACAGCAAAAAGGAAAGAGGAGAAATGGTAGTGGAGAGAGGCATGGGCATCAAAACCACACGAGGAGTGAACGCGCCAGCTCCAACAGCGCGAAACAATCACCCTAGGCATCAACGCCCATGGCGCCACTGCTGCCCGCGCCACAGGTGCCAACGTCATAGGGTCAACGCCCATAAGGCACCAGCACATAGGCCATGACACATAAAAAATGCTCTCTCACGCACACTCTTACGCACTCTCTCACGTGCTCTCTCACGTGCACTCTCACGCGCTCTCTCATGCGCTCTCTCACACGCACTCTCACACGAACCCTCACGTGCACCCTCATGCGCACTCTCACGCGCATTTCCACGCGCACTCTAATGCGCACTCTCACGCGCTCTCCCACGCGCTCCCTCACGCACTCTCTCACGCGCTCTTTTACCCACCATCTCATGCGCTCTCTCACGCGCGCTCTAACGTGTGCTATCACGCTCTCTCTTACGCGCACTCTCATGCACTCTCACGCGCTCTCATGCGCACTCTCATGCGCACTCTCACGCGTAGCCTCACGCGCACCCTCACACGCACTCCCACGCGCACTCCCACACGCACTCTCACATGCACCCTCACGTGCTCTCTCACGTGCTCTCTCACACCCTCTCTCCTGCCCTCTCTCACGCACTCTCTCACGCGCACTCTCACGCGCTCTCTCACGCGCTCTCTCATGCGCTCTTTCATGTGCTCTCTCACGCACACTCTCACTCGCACTCTCACGCGCGCTCTCACGCGCACTCTCACGCGCACTCTCACGCTCTCTCTCACGTGCTCCCTCACGCGCTCTCTCATGCGCTCTCTCACACGCACTTCCACGCGCACTCTCACGCACTCTCTCACGCCCTCTCTCACGCCCTCTCTCACGCGCACTCTCACGCGCTCTCCCACGCGCCCTCTCACGCGCTCTCTCGCGTGTGCTCTCACGCGCCCTCTTACGTGTGCTATCACGCTCTCTCTCACACGCTCTCTCACGCGCACTCTCACACGCTCTATCACGCGCACCCTCACGCGCACTCCCACGCACACACCCATGCACTCTCTCATACGCACTCTCTCACACGCACTCTCACACGCACCCTCACATGCTCTCTCACGTGCTCTCTCGCGCCCTCTTCCACGCCCTCTCTCACGCGCACTCTCACGCGCTCTCTCACACGCTCTGTTACGCGCTCTTTCATGCGCTCTCTCACACGCACTCTCACACGCACTCTCACGTGCAATCTCACGCGCACTCTTATGCGCACTCTCACGCTCTCTCACGTGCTGCCTCACGCGCTCTCTCACACGCACTCCCACACGCACTCTCACGCGCTCTCTCATGCGCTCTCTCACGCGCTCTTTCATGCGCTCTCCCACACGCACTCTCACACGCACTCTCACGCGCACTCTCACGCGCACTCTTACGCACACTCTCACGCTCTCTCACGCGCTCCCTCACGCGCTCTCTCACGCGCACTCTCACGTGCACTCTCATGCGCACTCTCATGCGCTCTCTCACGCGCACTCTCACGCCCTCTCTCACGCGCTCCCTCACGCGCTCTCTCACGCGCCCTCTCACGTGCACTCTCACGGCCCTCTCACGCGCACTCTCACACGCACTCCTACGTGCTCTCTCATGCGCTCTCTCACGCCCTCTCTCACGCGCACTCTCACGCGCTCTCTCATGCACTCTCTCACGTACCCTCTCACACGATCTGTCACGCTCTCTCTCACACGCTCTCACGCGCTCTCTCGCGTGCACTCTCACACGCTCTCTCACGCACTCTCTCACGCCCTCTCTCACGCGCACTCTCACGTGCACTCTCACGCGCACTCTCACACGCTCCCTCATGCGCCCTCTCACGCGCCCTCTCACGCGCTCTCTCACCCGCGCGCTCTCACGTGCTCTCTCACGCGCTGTCACGCGCTCTCTCACGCGCTGTCACGCGCTCTCTCACGCGCACTCTCACGCGAACTCTCATGCGCTCTCTCACGCGCTCTCCCTTGCGCTCCATCTCTCCCCTTCGTCAAATGAAAGTGCAATGCAAGAGGAGACCAATCGACACACAAAATTTACAAAGAGAATAAAAAAGAAAGAAAAACAAATCAGAGGAGAGAGGGAGGATGAAAGGACCGGGAACGCACCTCATAACCACGGTGCCTACAACCCGAGCTGACACACCAATCCGCGCGGGCGCACCAACCCGCGCTCGCGCACCAACCCGCGCTCACGCACCAACCCGCGCCCGCGCACCAATCCGCGCTCGCGCACCAACTCGCGGTTGCGTCGGAGGCGACGGGGGAAGGAGAGGCAACGGCGGGATGGAGGGAAGCGATGGCGGGATGGAGGGAGGCGATGGCGGGATGGAGGGAGGCGACGGCGGGATGGAGGGAGGCGACGGCGGGATGGAGAGAGAGGCGACGGCAGGATGGAGAGAGAGGCGACGGCAGGGTGAGAGGTGGCGGGACTGGGGGAGAGGTGGCAGCGGGATGGGAGGGAATGGCGACGGGGGGGTAGGAGGGAGGGGCGACTGACACCCAACCACTAGACCATTGGGATAAAATGGCTTGTTTGTGTAGCGGGTTTGTGCGCCCATAACCCCCCAGGGAAACGCGCCTGTAACCCCCCTAGGATCAATCGGGCATCCACAGTGCAGATCTATTGACACCCCCCCACACCGGGAGGCCCAGGACTGAGCACAGCGGCAACGGCCTACGTGTGCATACATCGGGATTCGAACCCGAGACCACTCTAATACCATGTCAGAATCCCAACCACTAGACCATTGGAATAAAAGGGCTTGTTTTTGTAGCGGGTTTATGTGCCCATAACCCCTAGGCGAACGCGCCTGTAACCCCCCTAGGATCAATCGGGCATCCACAATGCAGATCTACTGACATCAGGTAGTGGCGACGGCAGGGTGTTAGGAAAACGCGATAGGTGGGTTGGGAGAATATGGTAGAGAGAGCAGGTACAAGAGGAATTCGAGGAACCAAGAGCAGACAGAGTTCGAGTTGACAGCTAGTAAGGGAAATGGAATGTGCACAGCAACAAAGCGACGGGCAGAGAGAGCAGGTGGTCGATTTCAAGAAACCAAGTCAGCGGAGAATTCGATATGATAGCGGACGAAAGGAAGGATTTTTTGTGGTGCTGGCAAGAAAATATTTGAAACGGTTTTTAGATGTTGAGTACAGTTTTAGGACGATGGGGCGAATTGCAAGCCAAAACAGAACTTGGGCAAATGACAAACCAGAAAAAAACACACACATCTGGAACTACTGTCGGTGGCAACACACGCGTAACCACGTTATCCACCTAATCTGACACATTAGATTTAGCTGCCAATAAACAAACCCACTAAGAGTACTGTGATTTAATTATTGTAGGTAAAAATACAAGTGCTTATTATAGCTTCAACGCAACCCTTCCGACGTTAACGTCGAATCTTGTTTAGGGAATTTGCTAGCATGTGGTGTTTACTCGTTATCAGCAGGCCATGGGGAACAGCACTGCACACCAAACCCCGTCCTTCAATTTCTGTATCTTCGAGCCAGCGAACCCTTGTTTCATCGGGAATGATGGTTCAAACGAAACGCGACACTTTCAAAGATGATCAAGAACTTCGTGACAGAACCTAGGGTCATCCCGACCGAGGCTGAAGTGAGTCCGAGATTCAATCGCTGGCGGAAGGAGACACCTCGGGAACATTTGTTGTGTTTGAAAAACGCACCGCAACAACAAATCCGATGTTAGCGCGTCCATTGATACAGTTCCCTGTCTGTATGTCTGGTGCCGTGCCGTGTCACCCTACTGTATCTCTCGATTATCTCCCTGCCTGCCTTATTATGACATTCCCCCGCTTAGCATGTGTCATCGTCTCTCCCAATCCAGCCATCGCATACATTCAGCATTTCACCCATTCAAGCCTATCCTGCTGCATACAATTAGGTCTACTCTGTTGACCAGCAAGCAAGTTAGGTGTTGGTACTGTTTAGGTTCTGACTATTTGATGAAGTCTAGATTGCGCTAGTAAGCGCCTGCAGCAGCGTCGGTACAGGCGGTTTAAAAGTAGACAAGCAGGTGTATCTAGCAAGATGGCAAACTTGAAGTATTCTCACCAGGGCTCCGATAAAAGCCTGTCTTCGGAATACTCGTTAAACGACGGTCCACATTCCTCAAATATCCCCGTTAGAAGCGGCAGCCTTATGGTTAGCGAACCCACATCTGGTCCGCAAAGTCCAGTTCCCCGTACAGCAAGCCTAACATCTCCAACCAAATCACGAAGCCGCCGCTTCATGCTTTCGCTAAGAGGCTCTCGAGATGGTACTCCGAGCGTTCCTGTATCGGTAGATGGTAATAACGGGTCCGGCGTCGCCGCTGCTGGAGCAGCAGCAGCGAATAAAGGCCAGCCGAAAGATCGTCGGTGGCTTTTTAGCAAGTCCGCGAGTTCCCGGTCTGCTTCTAGAGAAGTCAATAGCATCAACAGCAGTAGCAGCAGCAGTCAGCAAGTGCACTCCTTTTTTCCCGCGGCTTTTTTTAGCGACCGCGTCGCTAGCAGCAGTATCCCCAGCAGTTACGCCGGCTCGACGACTGGCAGCGCCGCAATTAGCGCCGTGAATAGCGGCGATGCCGTCAGCGCAACGGCCAGCGAGGGTTCTGCGAGCGGGGTGTCCACGCGGGAAAGGGCGCGCAAGAGTAAGAGCAAGGCGCGCTCGTTGCGTGGAGCGACGATGGGCGCGGGGAGCTTCCGCGCGTGCTTCTTTCCGCACAGCGGAATGGTGGCGGGGGACTGGGACCCCGAGGACATGGCGGAGCGCGCGGAGCGCATTCACCGCCTGCGGAGCAGGCGGATGAAGGGGGCAGGGGAAGGGGGGACGGCGGAGGAAGGGGTGGAAGTTGCGCAAGGGGAACTGGGGAGCGGGGAAGCTGGGGGGAGCTCCGGGAAATCGCCGCGGAAGGGGGGAGTAAGACAAGGCAACGGTAACAAGGACGAAGCAGACAGGAAAGAGCAGGGAACAGCTGTTGGCGGTGGAGATCCGAATAGCGCGGAGGCTGATAACGAGGATGACCAAGGCAGCGACGAGGGCATGGCTCTAGACGATGAAATTCGCGAGCCGAGCTCGTTAATGGAAGCCATAGCTCTTAGGCGGTCCCTGCAGCGGGTAAGGGATGAAGAGGACGCAGGGAGGGTTGACGGCGGCGAGAGGGGAGGAGAGGGGATGGAAGGAGAGAGTTGGGGAGGTAACGAGGCGAGGGATGGGCGTGAGGAAAGGGGGAATGTGATTCAGGGCTTGGGGATTCACGGAGGGGAGCGAAAGGGGGAGGGTGTGGCGGAGGCGGGGAGAGAGGAGGCATGGGGAGGGGAGGGAGAGAGGGAGAAGGAAAGGCGAGGGCATGGAGAGGGGAAGGCGTGTGAGAGGAGGCGGAGCAGGAGCGGCAGTGGGAGTGTGAGGAGCAGTCTGTGCAGCATAGAGGAGGACGAGGGGGTTACAGGTGAAGGGAGCAGTAGAGCTGAAGGGCTTAGAGGGGATGGGATTACAGGTGATGGCAGCACAGCTCTTTCCATACATTCTCGAGATGTCTTTTCCAGCCACCCTGCTGCAAGTAGCGCATCTGACACTAACGAGTTTCCAGTGGCGAATGATACGGCACGCATGAATCTGGGAGGAATCACGGGAGGGAAGGAGGGGCGGGAAGGGATGGAAGAGACGAAAGGGATGGAAGGGAGGAACGGGGCGGAAGGGCAGGTGCGATCTGGGGCAGGACTTATTGCAGGAGAGCGGTTCCCAGACATGCCACCAGCAGGGCACGTGCGGGGGAGAGGAGGGAGTGAAGGAGCGGAGCTGGGTGGCTTTTCACCTGGCAGATCACCTGGCGTGTCGCCTGGCATGTCGCCTGCGTTTTCACCTGGGCACTCGCCTTCCCTGACTCCTGCCCGACCACCTCTCGGCCCTCCTCGCCCATCCCAGTCATCATCCCTGTCAGAAGGGAGACTGGAGGTGAAAACAGATAGTCGCTCAGGCAGCCCTGCTGTTGCTGCTGCTGCTGCTTCCTCACCCCCGCTTGCGCTCCCCCCAGATACCCATGGCCAATCGAAGGCGTTCCCAACCTCAGCATCAGCATCGGCATCAGCATCAGCATCGGCACCAGCATCAGCATCGGCACCAGCATCGGCATCAGCGGCAACATCTCTGTCGCCATCCATGTCCCCATCACGACTCCTTGCAGCCATGCCGTCACACCCCTCGCCGAACATCCCCGTGTCCAAATCTGGATTGGATCTCCCCCCTGCTGCCCACTCTTGGGCACCCGCCACCACCTCACACGCCTCCCCCCCTTCCTCACAGCATCAGCAGCAGCAGCACCATCATTCTAAGTCGCTTTTAGACGGGGCAAGCACCACCCTAGATGCCATGGTGACTGTAAGGAGGGTTCCCAGAGTCCCAGGAGGCAAGGGGGGTTGGAGAGAAGCTGCTGCTGCAGGAGGAGACGATTTTGGGCTCGGAGCCTCGGGAGGTTCGGCAGGAGCAGGTTCGGCAGGGGCAGGCTCGGGGCTCCGAGGCTCGGTTCTTCACTCCCGGTCGTTCCGAGGAGGTTCGGCCGGTGCTGCGATGGCAGCAGCTGCTACAGCGGCTGCAGTGGCTGTTGCAGGTGGGGATGGGGCGACCGGGGTAAATAGCCCCTTGCTGCAGGCTAAGCGAAGGCTGGCGGGATCTAGTTCTATGAGAGGAAAGAGTCTAGCAGCGCTGGATTTTGAAAGGATGCTGGCTAGTGGGGGTGGCGAGAGGAGAGGGGGCGGTGATGGTGCTGGTGGCGCTATTGGTGGTGGCTTGGGTGGTGGTATGGGAGGGGGAGGGGATGGAGAGGGTGAGGATTCGGAGTGGGAAGGGAGATTGGAGCTGGAGGAGTGGGAGAGGGCGAGTGGGATAGGAGTGAGGGGGATTGGAGAGAGGGTTATTGGAGCGAGGGAGACGGGAGTGAGGGAGACGGGAGTGAGGGAGACGGGAGTGAGGGAGACGGCAGTGAGGGAGGATAAGGCAGGAGGTGCGGGGGTTGGGGAGGAGGAGGTTCGAAGACCTCCAGGGGACGCAGTGTTGCTTCCAGCAGAGGCTGGCCAATCAGCTTATGACAGGGCGGGTGGGGGACCCGGATGGGAGACCCTGGCGGAAAAACGTGATGCAGGGAGTTTGCAAGGGGGAGAGGGGAGTTTGCAAGGGGGAGAGAGGCGTTTTCAAGGGGGGGAGGGGAGTTTGCAAGGGGGAGAGAGGCGTTTGCAAGGGGGAGGGGGGAATTTGCAAGAGGAAGAGGGGAGTTTGGCAAAGCACGCGTCTGATTCGTGTGACGGGATTTCTGGGGAAAGCAGAGAGGAAACAACTTCTGAGGCGCCTCAAAAGTTGTCTGCCGCTTGTGAGGGGAGTGAGAGTGGAGGCAGAGAGGGAGGAGGGGAGATGCAACGCGTGGTGGAGGAAGAGGACGAAAAGAGTAGGGAGAGAAGGGAGAGGAGGGAGAGGAGGGAAAGGAGGGAGAAAAAGGAGAGGAAAGAAAGGAGAGAGAAAGACGGAGAGAAGAGGGTGGATAAGGAAGCCGCGTTTGCAGGGATTCGAGGGGACGAGGGAGGAGCAGGACAGGAAGTGGGGGGAGTGAGGGAGGGAGAGGGGGGAGTGGGGGAGGGAGAGGGGAGATTGGTGGGAGGGGAAACGGATAGGGACGGGGACAGGAGTGCAGCGGTGCGTATATTAAGTGGTAGATGTGATAGTGTGGGGAGCGGCAGTGTGATAAGTGACAGTATGAGAATTGATACTATGAGAAGTGACGATATCAAGAGAAGCGACACGATGAGAAGTGAGATGATGAAACGCAATAGCATGAGAAGTGATAGTATGAGAAGTGATAGTATGAGAAGCAGCAGTGGCAAAGCTCTAAGGAAGAGCAGGAGTACTAAGGGTGAGGATAAGGTCAAGACAGAGAAGAAGCACAAGGTAAAAAAAGCCACCAGTGGCGATGCTGCTGCTGCCATTAGTCCTAGCAGCAACGCATCAATGTCTGTAGAGAGGACTGACAGTAACGCAGCAAGCTCTGTAACGAGGACAGAGAGCAATGCAAGTACTAGCTTCGATACAGGGACTTGTGGCAGCATAAGCCCTATGGAAAGCCCTAGTAGTAGCTGGAAGGAAGGTGGCTCTAGTGGGCGGGAGCTTGGCAGAAGTAGGAGGGAGGTTGGTGGTAGCAGGAGGGAGGGTGGCAGTAACAGGGAAACAGGGGAGATTGTGATTCCGAGCAGTGGTGATGGGAAAAGGATGGGGAAGAGCAGTAGTAAGAGAACGGGGCAGATTGTGAGTCCGAGCAGTAGTGATGGGAGACGGTTGGGGAAGAGTAGTAGTAAGGGAACAGGGGAGATTGTGAGTCCGAGCAGTGGTGATGGGAGGAGGATGGGGAAGAGTAGTAGCAGACGGAATGGGGTTGCTGGTGGGGGGGAGGAGGAGGGAGGAGGTGAGGTGTCATCTAGGAGAAGGAAAGATGGGAGGAAGGAAGGGGAGAGGAGGGAGGGGAGGAGGGACGGGAAGGGGAAGGATGCAAAGGGGAATGAGAAGAGGGAGGAAGTGGAGAGAATGGAAGAGGAGAAAAGGGGGAAAGAAGAGGGTACGATCGAAGAGGAGAGGGTTCAAGAGGATAAGGATGAGGTGGAGAGGGGTGGAGAGGCAGAAGCATCGGAAAGTGTGATAGAGTGGACCAAGCAGGGTGTCGTGAAGGGGAGGGAGAAGAGGAGAGAGAAAGAGAGAGAGCAGGAGAAGGGGACAAGGAGAGAGAAGGAGAGAGAGAAAGGGAGAGAGAAAGCAAAAGTGGGGGAGGCAGAGGAGAGTGTAGCAGAGGGAGAGGGAGAAGCGGAGGCAGCCACCCCTGAGGAGGTGGGAGGAGAGGAAGCGGGAGGAGAGGAAGCGGGAGGAGAGGAAACGGGAATGCCTTGCAATTTCACAGAGGGGACTTTTCCTGCTGCTGTGATGCCTGGTGTGGCTCGAGATTTCACCATGGCAGATTTGGGCTGCGATTCTTTCGAGGCGTCGCAACAGGGTGCTGCTGCTGCCATGCCCGGTCTGCCTCGAGATTTTACCTTGGTAGATTTGGGCAAGCCTTTTGGGACGGCTCAACAGGGTGGTGGTGGTGGTGCTGCTGCTGCTGCTGCTGCTGGTGCTGTTGCTGCTGCTGGTGGTGCTGGTGCTGCTGCTGTTGCTGCTGCTGCTGCTGCTGCTGCTTCTGCTGCTGCTGCTGCTGCTATGCCTGGTTTTCCTCGAGATTATACCATGGCAGATCTGGGAAAGGCGGGTCCAGGGTTTGGGTCAACAGGGTCAACAGGGTCAACGGGGCTAGCAGCAGGGTCAACGGATTTTGCAGATCCAGCAAGGCTAGCAGAGTCACCTGGGTCAACGGAGTCAACGCAGGTCAACAGCACACAGGTCAGCAACGGACAGGTCAGCAGCAGCCAGGTCAGCGGTGGTACGGACGAGTTTGACTTTGCGAGCCCCCTGCTTACAGTGCGGGTCCCGGTGCGCCCCCTCTCTCAGCTCCCCACGCTATCCAACCCCTCAGCACCCCATTCTGACCGCTCAGAACTCCTCTATACTGCCCCAGGACGGTCTACCATTCCAGGGCCTCTGTCTGGCCCCACGCAAGATTTGCCTGTTGAACGTGGTGAGGGAAGGGAGGAGAAACGAAGAGGGGAGGAGGAGAGAAGGGAAGAGCAGGGCGAACGAGGGGTGGGGGAGGAGGAACGGAGAGGAGGAAGAGTCATGTCGCATGGGAGACCAGAGGTGGGAGGGGAGGAGAAGCAGGAGGAGCAGGAGGAGGAGGGGGCAGCATCTCAGCTCGTGTTCAAAGGCAAGAGGATCCGAGTGAGGGGCGAGCAGGAGCAGTGCGGAGCTCACAGTAGCTTGGATGGACAGGCAGAGCAGGGCGAGCAGGCCAAGCAGGCAAAGCAGACTATTGAGGCGCCTCAAAAGCAGGGCGAGGAGCGGGAGCAGGGCGCGCAGGGCCGACCCATGAAAGGCAGCCGCGACAATCTAGAAGGCACCCTCCAAGCCCCTCAACGTGATCCCGAGCTCCCACCTCTCAATGTGGTTCAGCAGGCCATGGCTCGCCCCACCAGCTCTGGATTCCAGTTCCGCCCTCTCCTCCTCTCAGCCCCCTCAGACTTCCCAGGCCCCTCGGGTCCCTCAGGTTTCTCAGGCTTCTCGGGCTCCCAGCGCTCTGCCCCCCCCACGCCCTTTGGCTTTACCGGCACCAGCAGCAGCAGCGGTGGTGGCGGTGGTGGGGGTGGTGTGAGTGGTGTGAGAGATGGGCAGTACTGGGATCAGCATGGGCCTACAGGTGCTGCTGCTGGGGGTGGGTTCCTAGCAGGGGGTGCAGCAGGGAGCAGCAGCTACTGGCAGTGTAGCCGGGAGTTTGGGCCGATAGGGGCAGCTAGGGTTAGGGCTCAAAGGTGTAGGGAGCATTGGACGCTTCTTTTCATGGATCTGCTTGATCTAATGCTCAAACGGACGGCTGGAGATGAGTCTGTGGACGATGAGGGGGATCTGATGGTTAATCCGATGGCTGCGGATGGGTGTGTGGGTGTGGGGGGTGCTGTTGGTGGGGTTGGGTGGGGGCGTGAGGAAGGGGGGCGATGGGAGGGGGGTCAGGATGAGTTGGTGACTGAGGATGCTTATAAAGGGTGTAGGACGGATGACGAAGGGGAGGAGGGTAGAGAGGAGGTGTACAGGGAAGGTGGGTTCAGTCTGGCTCGGATGCGGCCTGACAGCTTCGGCGGCAGCAGCGGCAGGCTCGGCAGCAGCAGCGGGAGGCTCGGGTCGATGGTCCGAGCCTCGTCGTCAGCTGCGGCGCATCGGGACTTTGAGTGGATCTGCGAGAAATTCCGAACCGCAACGGAGCTCTCTGATAGGCTGAAAGAGCGCCACGTCAGTGAGGCGTTTACTGTAGCACTGGCTGTGTGGCTGAGGTTCTGGGAGCAGTGGGGGGATGGGCCTCCGCATTGGGCAGAGGAGGATGATGAGGAGGAGGGGGAGATTCTGCTGGAGGAGGGGGAAGAGGGAGATGAGGGGGAGGAGGGGGAGGAGGGGGAGGGGATGGGGGAGGAGCATATGGAAAGGATTCCATCAGGTGCTTGGTTGAGTAGTGAGGGAAGGGGAGGAGGAGGGGGGGAGGGAGGGGGAGGAGGGGGAGGAGGGAGTATAGGGAGACAGAGGTCGTTGGGTTGGGTGGATGAGGATAGGACTGGGATAGGCTCGCCCGAGCCTTGGGCTCGTAGAGACAGCTTCGGGCGGGTGAGCCGAACCAACAGCATCAACCGAACCAACAGCATTAACCGGACCAACAGCATCAACCGAACCAGTAGCATCAACCGAACCTTCAGCCGAACCAGCAGCCGCGGCGGCCTCACAACAGCCCGAGTGAACAGCAGAGGGAGCAGTTTGCGTGAGGGGGGAAGCATGAGGGAGGGAGGGGGACTGCTGCGCCTCTCCTCTACCATCTCCTCCACCACTGCCCCTGAGCTTGCAGACCTAGCAGGGTTGGGATTCGCACGCATTCAAGACGATTTGGCAGAAGCTGCTGGGATGCTTGCAGGGGTGGCGCCGGGGTCTGGGAGAGGGGGGGAGACGGGTGGGGGGGATGAGGTGGGGAGCGGCGTGATGTTAATTGGGAGGGAGGAAGGGAAGGGGAATGGGGGAAAGAGTGGTGATGATTTGGCTGGGCCTGTTTCCCGCCCCCAACGGTGGCTCAGCATGGAAGCTGGTGCTGGTGCTGCTGCTGCCGGTGCCTATGGCAGTGGAATTGCGGGCAGAGGGGCAGGAGACCGGGAGGGGGATGAGGAGGAGGAGCAGGAGGGGGCGTATGGGAAGTCACTGACAACAGCAGCAGTGGAAGGGGGCAGTGGGCGCATGGCTTATGCAGGTGATGGGAGGGGGCGAGGGGCGGGCAGAGGCAGAGGCGGGGAGGAGGGGGCGGGGAGAGGGGCAGAGGGGCGGCCTGTGTTGGCAGCACCTGCAGCAGCGGCGGCGGTGCGTGTGTTTGTGTGGGATCCAGAAGGCAGCATTCAGGAGCAGCTGGTTAGCATGGCTCTCTGCTCTGACCTGCGTGCTGCTGTCCCTGCTCTCCCTGCTGCCCCTGCTGCTGCTGCTGCTGCTGCTGCTGCTGCTGCTGCTGCTGCTGCTGCTGCTGCTGGTGCTGGTGGTGCTGCTGCTGGTGCTGGTGGTGCTGCTGCTGGTGCTGGTGATGCTTGTGCTGTTGCTGATTCTGCTGATGGGGTTGGTGCTGATTCTGCCCCAGCAGCAGCAGCAGCAAACCTCCCAGCAGCAGCAGCAGCAGAGCGGGGATACCCGGACCAGTTCCTTGCCTCGCGCTGCCACCACGACAACATCCTCGTTTTTGTCGGCCTCGCTGCAGCGCTGAGCGTGTGGCGCCCCGCTACAGCCGCCCTCATTCTCCTCCGCCTGCTCGACCGCATCGCCTTCTTCGAGCTACAGCTGGAGCGGGAGCAGGCTGTAGCGGCAGCTGTAGCAGCATCCGCAGCCGTTGCTGCCGCCGGCGCTGGTGCTGGTACTGGTGCTGGTGGTGGTGGTTATCAAAGGCTGGGATCGGTTAGGGGAGGAAGTGCAGGTGCAGCAGGGGGGGGAGTGGGGAGCTTGAGGGGCTCACCTCGTGCTGCTGGGCCTGTGTCACGGTCCTTTGCACCGATCGGTCACAACCGCACGCCCAGTATGCAGTTGATGCAGCAGCAGCAGCTGATGCTTCTCCAGTTCAACCCAGAAGCAGACGAACCTCCTTCTCACAAATCCACCACTCTGCACCACTCTCACCGACCCCCCAGCTCGAGCTTTGGCGGCGCCACGTCCGGCAGAGGCTCGGAGAGTTCCGAAGCTGCGAGCGCAATCAGCAGCAGCAGCAACGGCATCACCACCACCAGCACCAGCACCACTAGCAGGAGCAGCAGCAGCATGAGTGGGGGCAGCAGGTCCTGGGCGCCCTTACTGGGCGCGCATCTGCCGGCGTGCCGCTCGTTTGTAGTGTCGTGCCTGTCTGCCGTCCTGACTGCCTGTAGCGAGCGATCCGCTGCAGCTGTAGCGGCGTCCACCCCTGCTGTGCAGCGTCTGATACTTTGGCAGGGCGTGGAGGGGGAAGGGCAGCTGGAGGAGGGCGAGGAAGGGGAGGAAGGGGAGCAGGAGGAAGGGGGTGAGGAGGAGGAGAGGGAGGGAGGGGAGGAGGAGGAAGGGATGGGGAGACAGGGAGGGAGGAGGGGTGGGGGAGCTGTGAGTAAGGAGCAGCAGAGAAGGGGGTGGACCGTGCCTAGTCTTGCCTCTGGCATGGCTACTCCCGGTGCTGCTGCTGCTTCCGCTCCTCCCGCCCGCATTGCCGGAACCTCCCGGGTCTCAACCCCTCCCAACCACTCTCCAGCTCATCCCAACCACCCTCTATCCCACTCCCGCTCCCACTCCCCGCTCACCCACTCCCCACTCTCCCACTCCCCACTCTCCTCCACCCACACCCCCCGGAGACCCCAGGTCTGGGAACCCATGTCCCTAGCAGCCATGGCAGAGGTAGCACTAGCAGAAGGGCTTGCCGCTGCCACACACTCGAGCCTGGAGGAACGGTGCGAGGAGCAGGATCGGCTGTACCTGCAGCTCAGCCTCGGCCCGGGCCTGCTGGGAATGACCCTGGCGGCGACTATGAGGGAACTTGAGCATATACACCCAGATGACAGCATGGCAATTGCAAGTCTAGCCCAGGAATTAGGGTTAGACGAGGCGGCGTTTCACGCTGCGCTACGGGCTGTTTCTAGTGGCAGGTTGAAGGCTGCTGGGTTCGATCGGGTGATCGGGATGGTGTTTACGGGTAGAGGGGTTGAGTCGGTCACAATGCGGTTTGCTAGACTTGCTGCTGCGGTGAAAACGGCCCAGTTCTGGGGGTCTGGGGTAGGGCCTGGGGCGGGAGAGGGAGCTCATCTCTCTCCCCTCTCCTCTCCTAATACAGGAGGGAGGAGTGCTGGGGGAGCAGCACAAGGGGGGAGGAGCGCAGGAGCAAGCAGTAGTACAGGTGGGGGGACAGGCTCAGACGCTGCCGTCAAGGCAGATCCAGATATTACCTCCCCTAGAGCAGCAGCAGCAGCAGCCAAAGCTGCCGCCTCTGATCCTCTCTCCCCCTCTTCCACTTCCTCTCCTGCTCTCTCTAGTTCAACAGTTCCCTCAGCCTCCCCCTCCCCGTCCCTCTCCGCGGCTGCTCCTGGTTGGGCTGCTGCTGCCTTTGCAGTTGCCTCTAGTTGGGGCTCTGCGCTTGCCTCCCAGGCTAGTTCCGGAGCTGCAGCCGCAGCAGGCTCGGGGAAAGGCTCGGCGACAGGGTCGGTGGGTGGGTTGTGGGCGGCTGGCAGAGCAAGCGCTCCTGGGGTTAGTGCTAGCTCAGGCGGTGCCTCAGGTGGTTCTTCAGGTGGTGCCTCAGGTGGTCCTTCAGGTGCCGGCAACAATGCTGATGCCGCTGGTCCCAGCGCTGGTGGTAGTGGTGTTGAACTGGTAGTAAGGGAGGGGAGGAGGCGGGGAGGAAGTGAAGGCGAGGTGGGAGCATGGCTGAGCGAAGGGGTGGCAGCAGAGGAGGGACGGGAGGACGGGGAGGTGATATCTGGTGCGGGTAGACCCAAGCCAGGCCACACCCGGGGCAAGAGTGACATTCCTACGCTGTGGCTGGGGGGAGGGAGCGGCACCAGCGGAAGTGGCACCCTTTCTTCCCCTTCTGCTGCTGCTGCTGCTGCAGCAGCAGGGGGAGGAGGAGGGGCGAGGGGCTGGGCTGGAAGTTTCTTCTCCAGCACCCCCCATGGGAGCCCGAGAGGTGGTGGCGGTGCTGGTGCTGTTGCTGGTGCAGCAGGGAATTGGGGGGGAGCTGCCGGGATGGGCCCAGGCGGGGGACTTGGAGGGATGGGAGGCGGAGTGGGTAAGACTGGCACTGGCATGGGCATGGGCACAGGCCTGGGCAGTGGCACGGGCAGCAAGCCGTCGAGATGGTTTAAGGGAGGGGATAGATGGTTTAAGGGAGGGGGGTTGGCAAGGTGTGGGGTGCTGCCATGCAGAGCCTCTCGAACTGGTTCATCTACAATGTGAGGCTGCTTATAGAGGGGATGGCCAGCTTGGGGCTGGAAAAGTGTGTGGGTGGGCGGGTGGGGCGTCTCCATCTGGTTCAACTAATGTGAGCCCACTTTTATGGGGTATGGATGTGTTGCAGCAGCACCACCATTTCGTTTTGTCATCGAATTGGGCATGGCTGACCTGCCCCTCCCTCCCTCTCTCCTCACCCACCTGTCTCCCAACTACTCCCACCTCCTTCCACTTTCCCCCACCCCTACTCAACCCCGCATGTGGATCTCCCCTTGCGCTCCCACTCTCCTTCGCCAGGTGACTTTTGAGTCGACTCAAAAGTCACCCCTACTCAACCCCGCATGTGACGACTTTTGAGGCGCCTCAAAAGATCTCCCCTTGCTCTCCCACTCTCCTTCGCCCTCTCCTTGCACCACCGTCCCGTCCTCCCTTTTTTCTCCCTTTCCCACCACCCACCCCAGTCACACTCTTCCCCCCCCACCCCGACTCCCTTCGGCCACATCAGGAACTGGAGGAGGACAGCACGTGTAGCAGCGCTACTGTCTCTTCTGTCTTTGACTGGAAAAGGCAGAGATGTCTCTAAATTTCCGCTCTCCCACCCTCCTGCTCCTCTATCCCACCCTCCTGCTCCTCTATCCCACCCTCCTGCTCCTCTATCCCACCCTCCCTCTCCCCTCTCTCATGTCCCGTCCTTCCCTCTCGCCACACCGCAGGAACTGGAGGAGGACGGCAAGTGCAGCAGCGCCACCGACCCTTCCACCTCTCCTTCTCCTTTCTCCTTTCTCCATCACCCTCGCCACCTTCACACCCGGCCCCCCCTGTCTCTCCCCTCGCCACACCGCAGGAACTGGAGGAGGACGGCAAGTGCAGCAGCGCCACCGTCTCTTCTGTCTTTGACTGGGGCCTGGCCGGCCTGCTACAGGATCTGCCGCCCAGAGACGACGCCGCCCAGTCGCTGCTAGACGTCCTCGACCCAGAAGATGACGAATGGATCGATGTCTCGCTGGCCGTTGCCGCCCGGATGGCACTGCCGACCGGCAACTGGTGGCCCGTGCAGGGCGGCGGAGGGGTGGCGGGGTTTGTTGCCAAGCTGCTGTCACTGATAGAAGAATGTGAGTTTCGTTTGTTTCTTGTAGTTGGTGCAACGGGCAAGGCTTGCTCTCGCCCCTCGCTTCCTCTCCCCCCTCCCTCCCTGCCCTCACCTTTTCTCCCCTTTCTCCCTCTTCCCTCGCTTCATCTTCCCTCCCCCCCTCACACTTCCTCTCCTTCCCCCTCCTCCCTCGACTCCTCTCCCCGACCCCCCTCCCTCGCGTCCTCTCCCCCCTCTCCCTCCCTCACTTCCCCTCACTCCTCTCCCGCTCACCACCTCCATGTGAAGGCGGGGAGCCCACACCTCAGCAGCAGAGCAGGCGGTGAGCAGAGCAGGCGGTGAGCAGAGCAGGCGGTGAGCAGAGCAGACGGTGAGCAGAGCTGCTGCACTGCATGGGTGTGCCCATTTCACCCCCCTCACTTCTCCCCCCCCTCACTTTCCCCCCTCCCTCACTTCTTCCCCTGCTCCTTACCCATCTCCACTCCTCTGACAGGTGGCGAGCCAACCCCCCAGCAGCAGAGCCGGTCCGTGCAGGTGGCATTGAGGCTGTGGAGCTGGGCCATGCCCATCCACATCCTCTCACACAACAATCCCCCCTCTTTTCCCTTGTCTGACAGGCGGAGAGCCCACACCGCAGCAGCAGAGCAGGGCAGTGCAGGTGGCGCTGAGGCTGTGGAGCTGGGCCATGCCCAAGCGGGAGCAGCTGCAGGAGCAGTGCGAGGTGAGGAGGAGTGGAGTGCGGTGGGGTGCAGTGTGGTGTGTTTGGGGTCGGTGGGGTGCGGATGAGGTAGGGGTGTGTGGGGTAAACGAGAAGCTGAGGCATATCCAGCCAGGTGGCATTGAGGCTGTGGACCTGGGCCATGCCCAAGAGGGAGCAGCTGCAGGAGCAGTTCGAGGCGAGGAGGGGTGGAGTGCAGTGATGATGGGTGCGGAATTGACTTTGTAAGGAGGGGGTGGGTGGTGCTTCGTCTGGCTGTTACCAGTGCTGTGCTGCAGCGGTCTGACCCTCACCTTCACCATCACTTCACCTTGAGATACGAGACTCCGTCGTCATTTGTTCTCTCAGAATATCATTTCAGCCATACTCACCTAATATATGATTACCCCCGTCCTGCCTACGAAACGCCCTTCTTCTGCTCTGTTCTGCTCTGTGCCGCTCTGTGCTGTGCGGTGCTGCCCTGTGCTGTGCGGTGCTGCAATGACCCCTTTGCAGACGGAGGAGGAGCTGATGGAGGTGTGGCATCGGTCCGCCTCAGCCATCTGGCGATCCGTGGCTTGCGGAGGTATGCTGCTGGGGCTGGGGACTGGTGCGTCGGAGGCTCAAGTCTAGTGTGGTCCGGAGTGGTGACGAGGTGGGCTAGGCCTCTAGGAGCTGATGGAGGTGTGGCAGCGGTCCGCCTCGGCCATGTGGCGATCCGTGGCGTGCGGAGGTATGGTGCTGGTGGTAAAGGGTTTGGGGGATATGGTGCTAGCAGTTAAGGGTTTTGAGGGGGAAGGGCTCTAACCCTTGTGACGTGTGGCAGCGGTCTGCCTCGGCTATCTGGCAACCCGTGGCTTGTGGAGGTATGCTGCTAGGGATGGGAGCTGGGTAAAGTGCTAGCGCTTGGGGGAAGGAGCGGCGCTAGTGCTGGGGGTTGAGGGTTGAGAGGGTTCCAGTGGTTTGTGACGTGTGGCAGCGGTCTGCCTCGGCCATGTGGCGATCCGTGGCGTGTGGAGGTATGCTGCTAGTGGTTACAGGTTTCGGGAAGATAGGGTGCTTGTGGTTACTCCCAACTTCTCCTTTCAGTTCCCCCTTTCAACTCCCCCTTTCAACCCCCCTTTTCAATTTTCCCTTTCAGAACCCCCTTTCAATCCCCCTTTTCAGTTCTCCTTTTTAGAACCCCCTTTCAACTCCCCTTTTTAATTCTCCCTTTCAGAACCCCCTTTCAATCCCCCTTTTCAGTTCTCCTTTTTAGAACCCCCTTTCAACTCCCCTTTTTAATTCTCCCTTTCAGAACCCCCTTTCAACTCCCCCTTTCAGAAACCTCTTTCTACTCCTGTTTCAATTCCCTTTCACTCCCCTTTCTACTCCCCCTTCAATTCTCCCTGTCAGAACCCCCTTTCAACCCTTTCCACTCCCATGTCACCTCAACCTTTCATTCCCCCTCTTCCCAATCCCCATTCCAACCCCCCTTTCCCACTCAGAAATGGCTCCAGAGCCTTGAGCCCGGGGCCCTCATCTCCTCCACTCAACTCAACTTCATTCTCCAACACCGGGAGACAGCTGTCACGGCCCGGCCCTGCACCCGCCCCTGGTAAGCACCCGCGCCGCCCTGCTGCGCCGCGCCACCAGTTGCCGAGCCGCGCCACTCAGCCGAGCCGCGCCGCCCAGCCGAGCCGCAACGCCCACTGAGCCGCGCCGCTCTTCCGAACCGCGCCGCCCTACCGAGCCGTGCCGCCCTACTGAGCCACACTGCCCTGCACTGCCCTACTGCCTCTGCTGCTACTCCAGCTACTGCTGCTACTGCTGCTACTGCTGCTACTGCTCCTACTGCTACTATGGCTAGCCCTACTGTTCTCACCTTTGATGCTGAGGGGCGTGCAGTTGACTTTGACGTGTGGGTTGACGACCTGCAGCTCTTTCTTCAGTGTGACTCTAGGGATGGGGTTTCACTTTTCGATCACACGTCCGGTGTCTCTACTGCTCCTGCTGCCACTGCTGCCAGTACGGTTCGCTCGCAGTGGACCACTCGTGACACTGTTGCTCGTCTTGCTGTTCGTAGTCACCTGCCACCTGCTGAGCGCGCGCATTTTGGCCAGTACAAGACTGCTCAGTCTTTGTACAACGATGTAGTTGCGCGCTACTCCTCCCCTGCCACTGCTGCCCTCAGCCGCCTCATGCTACCGTACCTTTTCCCTGACCTTGTCGCTTTTTCCACAGTCGCTGACCTCATTACTCACCTCCGCACTAGTGACGCCCGCTACCGCGCTGCCCTTCCCACTGAGTTCTGTGCCAAGAACCCCCCCCCCATGTACATCGCCCTTTACTACCTAGTCACCCGCCTCCCTGACTCCCTTTCTTCAGTCAAGGACCACTTTCTCTCCCTTTGCCCCACCGAGCTCACTACCGACCTGCTAGAGGAGCGCCTAGCTGCAGCTGAGAAGAGTGTCTTAGCTGTAGGTGCTTCTCGCGGCGACTGTCCCACCCCTTTCTTTGAGGGGTGTTCCCCTGTCCCCCTTCTCCCCTCTGTTGCTCCTGCTGCTGCTGTCGACCTCGTTGGCACTGAGGAGGTCGGGACTGCGTCTGCTCCTAGTGGGAGGCGCCGCAACAGCAAGGGCAAGGGGACCAAGGGTGGTGGAGGGGACGGCGTGGGCGGCGGCGGAGGCGGTGGAGGAGGTGGAGGGGGTGGCGGTGGAGGTGGGGGTGGTACTGGGAGTGGGGGCTTCAGTGGCGGCGGCAGAGGTGGTGGAGGCAGCGGCGGAGGTGGTGGAGGTAGCGGCGGAGGTGGTGGAGGCGGCGGCAGCGGTGGTGGTGGCGGCGGCGGTGGTGCTGGTCGAGGTGCAGCTGCGCAGCGTGGCGACTTTGGTGGTAGCCAGCGCCAGCAGCAGCCGCGTTCCCGTGAGACCCCGTCGGTCCAGCAGCTTTGTGAGTGGTACGCTAGGCGTGGGAGGTCTGGGAGTGCTGGTCCCTGCACTTACGTTCTTCGCACCGGCAGTCGTCGTGGGGAGACGTGCGAGCAGCCACACACTGCGCAGCGCTGCTTCGGTCGCCTGACTGACGCCTGGCGCGCCCAGTATCCTGATGCTGTTGAGCTCCCTCGTTGGGGTGATCTTCTTAGGCAGAATGTGGCTATCTTTGATCTTGATTTCGATGCTATCCTTGCTGCCATGTATGCTTTGACTGATAGTGCTGAGGGTGACTGTTACCTGAGTGTCCCGCCCGACCCGGGCATTGAGACTGCTGCTCTAGGTGCTAGTGCGTCTGCTGCTCCAGGTACTGGTGAGTCTGCTGCTCCAAGTGCTGGTGAGTCTGCTCTCTCTGGTACTGCACCTACTGAGGCCCTGCACACTTTCACACTTGAATCTGGTGCTTCGCGCTCTTTCTTTAGAGACAGCACCACACTCACGCCGCTCCGTCGGCCTGTCGCAGTCTCCCTGGCTGACCCCTCTGGGGGCCCAGTCCTTGTGCACTCTTCCACGGTTCTACCGTGTCCTGCGGCCCCGTCGGGCTTGCTGTCGGGACTCCACCTCCCCTCGTTCTCTACGAACTTGGTGAGTGGAGCTGACCTCCAGGACGCGTGGGTTGACCAGTTCACCCCTGGAGGTCAGCGTGTGACCCACTGCACTTGCTCTCGGACGGGCCGCCACCTGGCCACGTTCACCCGTCGGCCTGGGTCGAGTCTCTACACACTGACTACTGCGCCTCCTCCGGTCTCTGCGTCTGGTCAGGTAGCTGCGTCTAGTCAGGTGTTTGCTGCCGCGTCCAGGTCTAGTCCTGCGTCTGCCCCCTGCTCGTGTCGACCTCTGTCGCACGAGACTCTCCTTTGGCACCACCGCCTTGGTCACCCCTCCCTGCCTCGTCTTTGAGGTATGGCCTCCCGTACCCTTGTCTCGGGTCTACCCCGGTCCCTCCCTCCCCTTCCTCCGGGGCCTGCCCCTACCTGTGTTCCCTGTGTCGAGGGCCGGCAGCGCGCCGCTCCTCACTCCTCCACGTTCCCTCCGACTGAGGCTCCTCTACAGACTCTTCACATGGACGTGTGGGGCCCAGCCCGCGTCCGTGGACAGGGTCACGAGCGTTACTTCCTACTGGTCGTTGACGACTACTCGCGTTACACCACAGTCTTCCCCTTGCGCAGCAAGGGTGAGGTCCCTGAGGTGTTGATCGACTGGATCCGCGGTACTCGTCGCCAGCTCAGCGAGAGTTTCGGCTCGGACCTTCCTGTTCTGCGTCTGCACTCAGACAGAGGTGGTGAGTTTTCCTCCGACCTCCTGAGGGCCTTCAGTCGTGCGGAGGGCATCCGCTAGACGTTCACGCTTCCGGCCTCCCCACATCAAAATGGGATTGCTGAGCGCCGCATTGGCATGGTCATGGACGTCGCTCGTACGTCCATGATCCATGTGGCTGCTCCCCATTTTCTGTGGCCGTTCGCGGTTCAGTACGCTGCGCATCAGATCAACCTTCAGCCTCGTGTCTCCTTGCCGGAGACCACACCTACTCTGCGGTGGACGGAGAAGGTTGGCGATGCGTCCGCGTTCCGTGTCTGGGGATCTCGAGCTTTTGTCCGCGATACTTCAGTGGACAAGCTGTCCTCCCGTGCAGTTCCCTGCGTCTTCCTTGGCTCCCCCCCTGACGCACCCGGGTGGCAGTTCTACCACCCCACCTCGCGTCGTGTTCTGTCCTCTCAGGACATCATGTTTGATGAGTCGGTGTCTTACTACCATCTCTTTCCCTACCGCACTGCCTCTCTCCCTCCCCCCCGCCACTCTTCCTAGCGCCAGGTACTCCTCCGGTAGACCCCCTCCCCCCTCAGGGTCCTGCCCCCTCAGGTGTGTCTTAGGTAGACCCTGCCGAGCCGGTCGAGGTAGCTGTCGACTCAGGTGCTGCTAGGGATGCTGAGCCTGCGGGTGTGGGGCCTGGGGGTGCGGAGCCTGGGGGTGCTGAGCCTGAGCGTGTGGAGTCTGGTGGTAAAGAGCCTGAGCGTGTGGAGCCTGGGGGTGCTGAGCCTGAGCGTGTGGAGCTTGAGGGTGCTGAGTCTGGGGGTGCTGAGCCTGCGCGTGCTAAGTCTGGAGGCTCTCCGGGTGTCCCATTGCGGCGGGAGCCCCTCTCTCCGCAGCGGCTTCGTGAGTGGTACAGTCGGCGCTGTTGCCGTGCTTCTGGAGCTGCTGGTCCTGGAGCTGCTGGAGGTGCCGCTGGTACTGGCGCTGCAGGAGGTGCTGCTGGTGCTGGAGCTGCTGGAGGTGCTGCTGGTGCTGGAGCTGCAGGAGGTGCTCCTGGTGCTGGAGCTACTGGAGGTGCTGCTGGTGCTGGTGCTGCTGGAGGTGCTGCTGGTGCTGGAGCAGCTAGTCCTGGAGGTGCTCGTACTGGAGGTACTGGAGCTGGTGGGGCTGGTGGTACTGCAGGCGTTGGATCTGCAGGTACTACTGCTGGTGGTGCTGCGGGAGTTGTTACTGGAGACCCTGGAGCTGAGGGTACTGGTGCTGTCTCTGCTGTTTCTGGAGGCGCTGTGTGGCCGCGGCCGTACTACGTTCCGCTCCTTCAGCAGGTTCTTGGTCTCCCACCTTCTCCTGGTCCTCCTCCTCCCTTACTGAGTCCTCCGCCTATCCAGTCACAGTCGCAGTTACAGCCGGCCTCTCCACTGCCTGGTCCTTCTCCTTACTCTGGACCGACTAGAGGTCTTACGGAGCGTCGTGAGCCTGAGTCGCGTCCTGTGTCGCCTGTGTCTCGTTCTGTGTCGCCTGTCCGCACTGCTCGCGCTAGTCGTCGTGTTTCGCGTCAGCGT